TTTGTTCTCATGTCGCCAACCTGTGTACGTGTACGTGTGTCAGCATTCGATTTTCTATCCTGTTGAAATACAATTAGTTTATCTTAGCTCTGATCTAGTAACCGGCTGTGATAATGTAATAATTACCATGTGATTTCACTGAACGTTTAAATACGTACACAAGACCTACTCTTCGCGTTTCTATACATTTACATCAGATCCTAAACGAAATTCGGACCGCGATTCCGATGCACTGAGCACCAACATCAGATTCGGTGTGAATTAGTATTAATTGTTGGCCTGTCTGTGAAATCCGACGATTGCGACATATATACGATTTGTAATTTACTGTTAAGTACCAATTTTGTATTTGAAAAAATGAGATTTGAAATGCAACGCGTATTTTATGTAAAAATTGAGATGAACTTATACCAAATGACCTATTTTCTATGCACGTTTATGTTATAACCTTTCTAAAAATAGCTTCTGTAGTATTTCCCTGCATTGGCTTAAAACGTCATCAGCCGTGCTTAGCATTTACAAGGTAGGAACCAGACGAAACGTCGTCGATTGTGTTTTAGACTGTACTTTTTTTTTCGAGCGTACACAGTGCGGCATCTCGTAAATTCACGCAGCGTACTTAAATAACAATTTAACATCAAGGTATAAAAAGAAACTTTAAGATACATACTTTGTTGCGAAGTGTTACAGTGCTTGCATATACGTATTTCGCAACGTATAATCCGCCCATGCTCATGCCGATCTTTAGAATATTGTATTTGTATCTTTTCACGCACGTAGGACTTGACACTGATCATTCACATGCTATTATAAGATCGCATTATACATTGTAAGTAAAGCCCACCAAAATGTTTCCGTTTCTAGTTTCCACATATGATTTAAAGATTTACGATAAGTTTTTCTTGGGCTACGTCCCACGAGTGTCTAAATTTAGTTACGAATATATGATATACACATGGAGACAGGCAGATGGATAACGTAAATTGTTTATCGTACAAACGACAAATTTGAGTAAGCAGAAAGGAATTATCGTCTGCACATAATTGACACTAACAGCCGTCACCACGATCAAAACGATTCGGGAAAAGTCAGAGAGTCCACCTACTATCTCTAGCTACCAGTTCTACTATTACTGCTACTGCTGCTAATGCTAATGCTAATGCTACTACTACTAGCCAACTGCTTTTGCTACTGTTACTACTGCTACTGCTACTACTACTGCTACTACAACTATACTGCAACTGTAACTGCTCCTGCCACTGGCATTATACTACGTACTGCTGCAGCTACTGCTACAGCTATTATACTGCTAATGCAACTGATGCTGCCACTGCCATTACTGTACTATTGTAATATATACATACATACATATATAGGCCTATTATATATATATATA